GTCCCCTCCATTGCTCCCTTCGTTCTTCCCCCCTTTGCTCCCTCCCTGCCTTGCTCCGTTCCTTGCTCTGTCCCTTGCTCCCTCGCTTGCCCCCTCCCTCTCTCCTTCCCTCCCTCCCTCCTTCCCTCGCTCTGTCCCCCTCTTGCTACTTTGGTCCCTTGCTTTTTTGCTCCCTGGCTCCCTCACTCGCTTGTGCCCTGCCCTTGCTCCGTCCCTCCATCCTTCGTCTTCCTACTGCAGGTAGTGCTGAAGGAGGAAATTAAAGGCGAGATGGCAGAGGAATTGGTCAAGAAGTGCCCAGCAAAAGTTTTTGATATCGAGGATTTGCCAGTGAAGGGTACGTTTGTCCTTGATTATCGTTCCCCCTGAATTACTCTTAGTTTCAAGGTAAACTTTGAGTTCCTCCCCTCCTTCGCTAACATGGTTAGTTGGCCTTCTTCCCCCTTGCTGAATGGTACATCTGGCCAAGCAAGCGATGAGAATACAGGGTAGGGTCAAACGTGCTCAGCAAGCCAAGCAAAGATCAGCGCAGCTTCGTTTGTGCCTGTGATCTGGCAACTGTCTGAAACCGTTTCCATGAGCTGCGAGGATTCATCCATTTTTTTGGAAAAACTTGTCATAGTGAGTGAAGGTCCAGGCCAAGTGCCTCATTATTAAGTGAAGGTCCAAACAGGTGCGCCGTTTGCACGAGATAAAGAGAACAACTCCCATGTCCATCTAATAGAATGCATACTTTTTTTCCCCCCCCCCTTTGTTTTTCTTTTTTTGTGTGTGTCAATCCAAGGCTCAGTCCTCCAACTTGCTTTTCAAATCCCAAAATCTGAGCACTTGTGCACACTCGCATGTGCCCTGAGCTAGATATACTATACTATACTATATATAGCCTTGTCTTAGCCAATTCAGAACTTCCCGCGTCACATTCAAGGACACAATAACATATGAAGTTTAGGTCCTTTAGGATCTTAGTGACACACACTGTTAACCTCCTCCTCAGCAAGTGCACAACGTCGACGTCCGGCTGTCATATTGCACCCAGTAGATGCCAGTAGATCTGCCGCCAAGGCAGAAGTCTGCGTAAATGCAGCTCTTCCGTCAGTACCCGCCAGCTTGCTTTCCAAACCCTGAAATCGACTTCTCACATCTGCACGACTCTCACTTGTGCCCTGCGGTGGTCTTCTAGTAGCCTCTTCTTAGACAATCCAGCCGCCCCCCATTCATTCAATAATGACAATAACATAATAACACTATAGTAGCAAACCTTGTTATCCTCACCATCTGCACAAAACGAGCGTCCCTGAATTGCTCCTATTGGCCTACCGTTGTTGTGCTCCTTTTAGATTAGACTAGTAAATTAAAGACCTTGCCGGACAAGGGCACCCAAGCCGCATATCATAACGTTAGTTATGAATCGTGCAGAAGAATTTCTCCCTTGCTGTGCTGGGTACTCCTACATGCCTTTGTCTTATCGACAAGCGATGGTAATAGGCAAAGCAGCTGTGAAGGCAGTTCAACCCTGTCCTCACAAAAATAGATGATTCTTGTGGATGAGGGGTCTCATCAGGCACATAGTAGATGCCAGCTCAACAGCATTGAGCTGGAAAGCGCAGGACAATTATTATCCATATTTGATTGGTCATTCAAATGGCGACACGTGTGTAAGTAAAAGATAGGCTTGGCTGGTCTGGCATATTGATGATTTTTTTGCAGAAGTGTAAGTGGCACAATTTTTTTTAATATATATATATATATATATATATTTTTTGGTTGTAAGTGGCACAATTGATTGTTCAGAAGATTGAATTAGGAATGTTGAATTGGACTGAATTAAATGGAACTGAATGAAACTGAAATTGACTTTGCATTGAGCAGAGTTGAATTGAATCGGACTGGGATGGACTGGACTGGGCTCGGTCGGTTTGAATGCGATTATTTGATTGAATTTCAATGTGATGCACTGAATCCTCATTTATTGACTGAACTGATTGTTGATTCAATTCGATTGATTTGAATCTGATGGATTGGACGATGTTATGGTTGGCTGGATCAGGTGAGAAACGAGCTTGTGTGGCACGCCCTAGAGACTGCACGTTGTGCAGGGAGTGCATACGTGAGGACGGTTGGGGCGAGCGTATTCAATTGCACCGTGTGAAGCATCACTTCATATGTGAGTTTTTCATTTCCTTCCTGCCCCCTCTCCTCGTCATACCTCGTTTAATACTTCTTCCAAGTTCCAAACCTCAACCTGTCACTGTTCTTGGTCATCATCGCCTGGAGTCGTGGCGGCCATGCATTTCTCATGTGGTGGCGTCAACCGGTTCGATATCCTACAGACAGAGGGGGGGTTTCTGGGGAGTCGAAGGCAGCAGTTCCATTTTTAAATGACTTTTTTGGGGATGCGTTCCGGGTTTAAACTTTAAACTGCCAGTACACACATGACCCCAGTCAACTTCAAAAGTTTCATGACTCACTCAGCCTCACTCCTAAAATTTTGGTGGCTCGGGGCTCTACCAGACCACAATGGCTGGTGGGGCCAAGCTTTGCCAAACTGGCAGTTTGGCGAAAACGAAAACCAGTGTGTCGCTGGCGAGTTTGGCAAAGCTTGGCGCGCAGTGTGGGCCCTCCAGGCCCAGGTGTACTGGTGGTTTAAGAAGTGATAACTGTGGGCCCAGCAGGTGTACCGGTGGTTTAAGAAGTGACAACTGTGGGCCCAGCAGGTGGGGGGTTACCACTGGCAGGATGTGGGGTGTCCAGCTTGTTCTCGACGGTTGGGAATTGAACCCCCCACCACAGTGTGGCCCCACCAGGCCCATAGTTATAATGCATTTCAAGGCAGCGTGCCATAATCAATAGCTAGGCTTGTAATCTCATTTCCTTGACGAGGAATTAATACCGAATTATAATACTGAATTATTGTTTCGCCTGTCCTTTTCCTTTTCGTTTTATGTCTTTGTCATCAAGGGAGATATAATATAACCCCGAGGATTAGGGAAGAGGGGGGGCGGGGGTTGGTATGGAAGGGACGTACAAATTGGTCATCATCATGCAAGCACTCTCGTGAAGAATATACTCTCGTAATTGCATTGAGAAACTTAGAAAAATAAAAGAACAGAAAAAGGAGGAAAAGGTTAGGCTACCGGATGTCCTCACCACGGACGGACGGACTGGACATCCGTCCTGGACGCGCAGGATGCTCCAGACATCCGTTAAATTCTGGACAACATATATAAACCATCTGTACCTTTCTCAGTTATTGATGCCGAGCCTAAAAATGAATGCCCTGCACGCCAATTTTTGCCGAGCCTGGTAGCGAACGGTACCAGCACACGGGAAAAAGAAGGCGGTACTGGTACCGCCCTCTGTGTTGCCTGGAGGTCCAGCAGACGGAATACAAAGGAGGCCGCCGTTTCCACTTACGAAAGGAAAAAAAAAAAAAAAAATGGAGGAGGCTGACGGGCAATAGATTTTCAAGGGGGGGGGGGAAACGAAAAAGTACAAAACTAAAAACCAGCTACTCAGGCCTTTTCTACTTGTGCACCACACCAGGCCAGAAGTCGAGTCAGATACATTCTGGAAAGAGCTGCATGAGAATGCCCTGAAAGCAACGGGGCTGACAAGCAATAGATTGCCCCCCGACTGGCCAGAAGTGCAGTCAGATACATTCGTGAAAGAGCTGCCTGAGAATGCCCTGAAATGAACGGGCCCGACAGGCAATCAAGTGCTCCCCCCCCCTCTCACGGGGAGTCACATCAGAAACAGACAACACTCTTCTTTCTTCTTAAAAAAAAAAAAGAAAAATAAACGAAATAGAAATGGCATATACGCTCTGTACGTTATTGCTTTCAGATTCATCCATGACGGCGGGCATACTCACAGTCAGATACATTCTGGAAATTGCCAGCCTGAGTATGCCCCAATTGGAAATGGGCGGAGATGCTGAACGGATCCTTGTGCGAGGGCGGGGAGGATCCGCTCGGAGATGCTGAACGGATCCTTGTGAGGGCGGGGAGGATCGCTCGGAGATGCTAAACGGATCCTTTTGAGGGCGGGGAGGATCTGCTTGGAGATGCTGAACGGATCCTTTTAAGGGTGGGGAGGATCTGTTCAGTTTCTCAGCCCATTTCGGGCGTACTCATGTTGGCATTTTTCAGAATGTATCCGACTGTGAGTATACCCGCCGTGGATGAATCTGAAAGCAATAACGTACAGAGCGTATTACGGCATTTCTATTCCTCTTTTCTTCTTTCTTTTTTTCCAGAAAGAACAATCTCGACTTTTTCTGAGGGCTACTGACACTAGGCCTTCTTTCGCTAAGCTCTGGTCGTGATCGCAGTCAGATTCATCTAGTGTGGCGGTAGTTGGAGATTCTGAATCTTTCCCTCCCTGCCTCTCTCGGGAAGGGAACGTCGCTGGCTGCAGTAAGGGCATAGTCACACTGGGGCGTTTTGTACTAAGCTCTGGATGCGATTGCCGATAGATTCATCCAGACGTTGTTTACGTGTTGGTGCACCGCGCATCTAGTGTGTGTGTGTGTGTGTGTGTTTTTTTTTTTTTTTTTTTTTTTTTA